ATATTCTGTATATTTAATACAAATATGCAGCCAGTCTGTAGCTCTGTATACATTCTCATGTATAAAATAGTGTGGTTTTATGATAAATTATTATGCATAAAATAGTCAAACTTGTCACAATGTAGGTGAGTTATCAGATGGTGACTTCACAACATTTATTTATTTTTGTAGGAAGATAGAGTTTGTAGTTTTATTACTTGTGTTCACTTAAAGATTTATTAGGGACTGTTCATAAGTTATGGCTGGGGTGGGGATGGGTGGGTGTGGGTGTGGGTGTGGGTGTGTGAGATGATGATGATTTTAAGGGGGTCACCTAATTTGTTCTGGGGATTTAGGAGGGGGTGTCATCAATTTTGTAAACACATACTAGGGGTCATCAATTTTGTACAGAAAAATATGTTTAAAATTATTATGCTTAGAAATTATGGGAAGGGCAGGGGGGTATTGATTTTGTACATGACATGAAGTGAGGGGGGTCACTTATTTTGTACCTAATTTTTTTTTTTTTGGGGGGGGGGCATTCACATTGTACATGCTTCTCTGTAAAAATCATCAGTTAGCAGTAGTTAAGATAAACTTCACACGTTCTATTCACATACATGACACTAGTATTCATTCATGTAATACTCAAACAGTGATAAACTCGTGTGTGATCCAGAACCTAAATATATACTGAGGGAGCAACATAATGCAACAAGAAGTTGACTGTTGACAAAGTAGACACAGTTTATGGATAATCAAAAATCGTCACTGTTTAAAATTAATTATGAACATTAATGGGTTCATTTCATAACCCATAATTTTGAAGTTAAACATTTTGGCATGGGGCATGGGGGTCCTCAGATTCAGAAAACATGTAATCAATCCCAACACACCTCATATCTTAAAATGCTGTCTATAATTTGAAACATTTTGTTGGCAAGGTGTTAGCATTACCATCCATAACCATAGATTGCTTGTGAACAATTACTAATAAAATACATGCTACAATTTTGCAGTTCCCTTACTTTCATGCATCTGTATATGTCGGAGGAATGAAGTTTGTTGAGCTATAGGACTTTGATTTTTCATTTTGAAGGAAATAAGTGTTGATGATTGAGAAATAATTTTGCCAGTCTACAAATCACAATGACAATACAATTAATTACATTTGTGTAAATAGCTGATTTATAAATTCATGTTCTTTCAGAGAATGATGAATTAAAACCGTTTGAAACTGCTGGTGTTTAGTTGGAAACTGGTTTGTCTGTTTCCTTTATAATGCCACACTCAACAACATTCAGATTTGAGGGAGAAAAAAATAAACCAGACAATAGGTGATTCATCATACACCTGCACTGGTTCTACAACTCTCGTCTCTGAAGCTAAGTTCATGTGAAACACTTTGAAAGCTGTTTGTAGATGAGATGGAATAACTAGATGTTGGCTGTCAGTTTGACAATGTCGGAGGGAGCTTGTCCCAAGAGCTGTTCTGAGCCACCCTATAAGATGACAATGTCGGACAGAGCTTGTCCCGGCAGCCGTTCTTGGCTGTTCTCAAAAGACACTGTTGTGCAGAGCCACTGAGGAAGGTGAGCTGCAGAACCTGTGGTATTTATGAATCAGCAGTTAATGCTACTTGTCACATCTCTGTGTGCATGTAATATTCAGTGTATATAGGTTGTACATATACAAATTAACATTAAATTCCAGTATTCTTGCATATAGTGAAAATGTCATACAAATCACAATGAAAATACAATTAATTACATTTGTGTAAACAGCTGATTTATAAATTCATGTTCTTTCAGAGAATGATAAATTAAAACCATTTGAAACTGCTGGTGTTTTGTTGAATATCTGGTTTGTCTGTTTCCTGTTTAATGCCACACTCAACAACATTCAGATTTGAGGGAGAAAAAACTAAACAAGCCAATCAGGTGATTGACATGTGCAAGAAAAGAACATAAGTACCATATTTGGGACATTTTATCAAACATATGGTTAACAGTAAATATAAGTTTATGTCCACAGAATGGTTAGCCTGGACTGAGCTTACATGGCAAAGTCCATATACATGTACAAGTGATTTAGACTGGATCAAACATTACATTATTCATTTAAATACAGGTTATACTTCAAGGACAGAATGCAAAACAGAAAGATAGGGTAGGGTTGGCATGCATCACACTAAATGCAGTCTGGCCACGCCTGTATCATCCTCGATGATGAAGGATATTGGCGTCATTCAGTTGTAAATACACAGGACACATTTACCATCATAGCTTCAACTGACACAGTGCTTCAAAGACCATATAATCAAATTACAGGGTTCTTCCATGACGGCAGCAGCTTGAACTGCTGACTTTGGCACCAGGTAATATCACAAGGAATGGAAGCCTGCATCACAACAATAGTCACGATCTAGTCACTTGTCCGAAGTCCAGCCACAATTCTGCCACAGTTATAGGAGATTGTAGTAATACTATATGGACATGCTCAGCTGTGATAACTGGCAACAGTTATAGGAGATTGTAGTAATACTATATGGACATGCTCAGCTGTGATAACTGGCAACAGTTATAGGAGATTGTAGTTATACTATATGGACATGCTCAGCTGTGATAACTGGCAACAGTTATAGGAGATTGTAGTTATACTATATGGACATGCTCAGCTGTGACAACTGGCAACAGTTATAGGAGATTGTATGGACATGCTCAGCTGTGATAACTGGCAACAGTGATAGGAGATTGTAGTTATACTATATGGACATGCTCAGCTGTGATAACTGGCAACAGTTATAGGAGATTGTAGTTATACTATATGGACATGCTCAGCTGTGATAACTGGCAACAGTTATAGGAGATTGCAGTTATACTATATGGACATGCTCAGCTGTGATAACTGGCAACAGTTATAGGAGATTGTAGTTATACAATATGGACATGCTCAGTTATAATATGGACATGTGTGATAACTGGCAACAGTTATAGGAGATTGTAGTTATCAGCTGCTCAGCTGTGATAACTGGCAACAGTTATAGATTGAGATTGGACATGCTCAGCTGTGATAACTGGCAACAGTTATAGGAGATTGTAGTTATACTATATGGACATGCTCAGCTGTGATAACTGGCAACAGTTATAGGAGATTGTAGTTATACTATATGGACATGCTCAGCTGTGATAACTGGCAACAGTTATAGGAGATTGTAGTTATACTATATGGACATGCTCAGCTGTGATAACTGGCAACAGTTATAGGAGATTGCAGTTATACAATATGGACATGCTCAGCTGTGATAACTGGCAACAGTTATAGGAGATTGCAGTTATACTATATGGACATGCTCAGCTGTGATAACTGGCAACAGTTATAGGAGATTGTAGTTATACTATATGGACATGCTCAGCTGTGATAACTGGCAACAGTTATAGGAGATTGTAGTTATACTATATGGACATGCTCAGCTGTGATAACTGGCAACAGTTATAGGAGATGGTAGTTATACTGTATGGACATGCTCAGCTGTGACAACTGGCAACAGTTATAGGAGATTGTAGTTATACTATATGGACATGCTCAGCTGTGATAACTGGCAACAGTGATAGGAAGCTGTGCATACTAGAAAAGACTTCGGACTAGTGGCTAGAGAGGAAGACCGAAAAAACACAACAAACATCGTATCTGGCCACTTCACAGTCTACCAGCTTATCTCGTGTTTGAGACACAGTATTAAATATTCTGTGTCTAACAAAACCTGAGACAGATAACAAGTGGCAAGAGATACTACTTCAGTACTGGAAAACTGTACTGAAGTAGTTTCCACACAAGTCGCTATGACCTTTGTGGTAGACATGCATGATTATATATATGTCTAAACACACAAATATATACAATCACATCAGTCTGTACAAACCAATATATATTCTAGCTGCTAGAAGATCCTAAAGGACAACAATTTCAAATTACAAATGCAAGTTTGAGAGAGGTAAACAAGAATTGCACTTGATTTTTGTTTAATCAGTGTTCTCAGACATTTGTTTCATATAAACATGCAATGAAACAGTCTACAATCATTTCTTGACTATGAGCAAAAATGCAGAATAATATCGATACATATGTTGGAGTCTTCACTCCATACCAGCACATAAAAAGACTTTAGTTTACTGTTGACACTGAACATTTGTGAAAATTGGGGATTAGGAAGAGGTACGACTTGGTAGCCATTACAACAAAACCAAAACAATAGCACAGGTTAAGTTGTACAGGGCTACAGATAAGGGGCGTACAGGCGTAATGAAGGCCTCAAAATCAATTAAGTACGACATAATATAAGATTTCAAGCGTATCGTGTACACACATAAATACCTTTGTACGTCTAACATTTAATTTCCGTGCGTATCATGCAATGGAAATCTATTTCGGATAAATACTTGTTTCTTTTGCGAAACACAATTTGACACATGAGGAAACCCCGACAGTAGGAATCACTTGCGTTGCCATGCAACGATATGCGTCACTATGTTTCTATTGGCTAAAAACTACACTCTTCCTATTTATATCCAGTCGGACCTGACATTTCGCGCATCACACGGTCACTCAGTTATTTCTCACGCGTCTTCAAATACAAATACATGGTTGGAAATAGTGATCGATGAATCGTCCAGACAAACCACATCACCAACTCGCTCACACAAAAACATGTCAGTACTCCTTCAAAATTCTCAGTACACCTCCACTTGCAATATGATGTGTAAGTACACTCGCACCCCCAAAAGTTATCTGGAGCCCTGTTGTATATAGCATTTTGGAGATATTGTTTAAAAAAGGTAATTTTAGAATCAATGCATACATTATGGCTTGAAGATTACACTGTCTGTAGTAATTTTGTTTACGCAAACGAGGCAGTTGCCTCATCCAGGAAACTCCTGATGATTTACGATTGACAATAATTACACTGACTGAGTTTAGTTTTACGCCGCTTTTAGCAATATTCCAGCAATATCACGGCGGGGGACACCAGAAATGGGCTTAACACATTGTGCCCATGTGGGGAATCGAACCCGGGTCTTCGGCGTGACGAGCCAACGCTTTAACCACTAGGCTACCCCACCACCCCTACAATAATTACAACTCTTCATGGTATTAATCACAGTTGCTGGGGTCCTATGTGAGTAAGCTTGTCGTGGTTATTGAACAGAATGTCTAAAATGCTTCACGGAGTACCATGGCATACAAGAGACAGTGGGCTGTGACACGTGTTGTAGGTAACCTGGTTATGTGTGAGAGAAGTAACGAGGGTTGTTGTCATAACACAAATCACACAAACAGGATCAATAGTCAATATCAAGTTAGTATGGTCTATCACATTCCCATGGGCTTTGTTACACAGTTACTCTGCCAATCAAAAGCTGATTCTACACTGTAACATATGTTATATTTGGGATTATACTTTCTTAGTAAAGTACAGATTCTAGTACTTTTTGGGGGTTGAATCCCATCCGGGATTCGAACCCACCCCCACAGAGTCAGGCAGCTAATCACCAGCACACAATGTCAGACGCCTAAACCACTCAGCCACCGCTGGCTTCCACACTGTTCTACACTGTTAAAGAATACCCAAGCTTGTTAGATGTCACTAGTGTGAGTTAAATAAGTTAGTAAGTGAGTACCTTGTTAGTTTGGCCTATCATCTTCCCATTGGTCTTCGTTATAAACTGATTTCTAAAGGAACGCAAACATTACAATTGTTTGAAATTACATGCAATAAGACACAAATATAGGCAAAATGGTGTGTGATGCTCAGATAGTTATCCTGGTCAGATCTGATGATACTGAAATGGCTGCTAAAGGAGGCCAAACTTGATACTGAAATGTCATAACTCTTACGTGAAATACCAAATGGCACAATCTAACTACGTCTCATTGACATTATTATAGAACACTTCTGGTTTTGAATAAAGATCATTTGAGTGTTCACTGAAAGAACTCACATTGTATTCGTTACATGCCTTCGTAAGAAAACATCAATCTCTTTATTCATCCCTATTTTAGGGGATTCACGTTTCTTTTGGAAGAGAGTATATTTGCCATAGCAGCACCTCCTCTTTTAAACGAAATACCCCTTGCTACATACAAATATTTTAAACATGATTGGTTTCCACCTAAAATAACAGGACTACCAAACAGAAGTTGGTCCCAGTTCAAGTCTCGATGTCAGGATAACCCATTTTAGCAGTCCTTAACAGATTACAGTGTGCATCCAGCAGAGCCTGCACATTTACACCTCCAATCAAAAACACATAATGTACTGCATGCTATTGTCAGGTTGAGGTATCATTTTAGGAAAAACACTTCCTCTAGAATTTTGCTCTCTTCTAGATCCTCTGTCTGACCCTCTCTGTCAGACAATGACTGGTCCCTGGACTGACTGTGGGGTGATGTGTACCCGACAAAGCTCTCTTCTCTACTGTGGAAGCTGCCGCCTAAAGAACCATTGTTCTTCTCAATGGAGTTAACTAGTTCTAATACTGCTAGAGTCTTGTCCCTGAAATGAAAGAATCAACAATGACAAGATCATGTTAAAACATGTTGGGTTGGGAATATTAATGCAGGGAGGGACACTATCATGACTATCAACTCATTCCTGACTAGTGCTTGGTGAAACTGAAGTAGACTTGGTGAGGAAATACGTTGCCTGGCCTGATTGTCACCAGTCTCTGACTATCGGACCAGCGGCTATGTACCCTGTGGTGTACAAGATGGACCATGTAGGCTGTGAACAGTACTTTTTCTAACTAAGTGTCATCCTATAAAGTCAAGCAGAATCAATCTCCATCACTAGCAAGGATTTAATGACACCTGCTAGGCAGGCGTGTAAAGAAGTCCAGATGTGGAAGTATTACCCTGGAGAAGGAGACCCTTTAATGTGTGGAGATGGACTGGTCCTTTGGTGGTTGAAGGGGAGGTTACTCTGTTGTGGGGACCTGAAACAAGAGTGTTATGAGTTAGCATGCCTGTATGAAACACTTGTGAATGGTAAGACTGGCCTCATAAAACCTGTCCACCTTAGAAATTTGTGGTTCTACAATTCATTGTTCTATTCCTGGTCCCCGCCCACCTGGATATGTTTGTATGAGACACTTGTATCTGCATCTATAAAGTCCCCGCCCACCTGGATATATGTCTGTATGAGACACTTGTGTCTGCATCTATCACGTCCCCACCCACCTGGATATATGTCTGTAAGAAACACTTGTGTCTGCATCTATCACGTCTCCAACCACCTGGATATATGTCTGTATGAGACACTTGTGTCTGCATCTATCACGTCCCCACCCACCTGGATATATGTCTGTAAGAAACACTTGTGTCTGCATCTATCACGTCCCCACCCACCTGGATATATGTCTGTATGAGACACTTGTGCCTGCATCTATCAAGTCCCCACCCACCTGGATATGTCTGTATGAGACACTTGTGTCTGCATCTATCACGTCCCCACCCACCTGGATATATGTCTGTATGAGACACTTGTGTCTGCATCTATCACGGCCCCACCCACCTGGATATATGTCTGTATGAGACACTTGTGCCTGCATCTATCAAGTCCGGCCCACCTGGATATATGTCTGTATGAGACACTTGTGCATGCATCTATCAAGTCCCACCCACCTGGATATATGTCTGTATGAGACACTTGTGTCTGCATCTATCACGTCCCACCCACCTGGATATATGTCTGTATGAGACACTTGTGCCTGAATCTATCAAGTCCCACCCACCTGGATATATGTCTGTATGAGACACTTGTGCATGCATCTATCAAGTCCCACCCACCTGGATATATGTCTGTATGAGACACTTGTGTCTGCATCTATCAAGTCCCACCCACCTGGATATATGTCTGTATGAGACACTTGTGCCTGAATCTATCAAGTCCCACCCACCTGGATATATGTCTGTATGAGACACTTGTGTCTGCATCTATCAAGTCCCCACCCACCTGGATATATGTCTGTATGAGACACTTGTGTCTGAATCTATCAAGTCCCACCCACCTGGATATATGTCTGTATGAGACACTTGTGTCTGCATCTATCAAGTCCCACCCACCTGGATATATGTCTGTATGAGACACTTGTGCCTGCATCTATCAAGTCTGGGATGTCCGGTGTCAGTCGGCCTGATGCGTCTAGTCTGACCGGCGATGTACCTATGGACACTCCTTGCCGAATGTTGATGGGGGACGTGCCTGCTGACTTCATCTGTTTGCTTCTGCCTTTCTGACTGGAAATATCTTGATAGAAAACAAGCATAACATTACAACTCATAATACGGACAATAGTAGGACCTATGAACAATAACTAATCCCACGTCCCAAGAGACATTACATTCACAGTCCTGAGCTAGCACTGTATCTCTATATGTGTACAAATCGTGGCCTATCACAACATACTTTCTCAATTTCTTATGTTTTCATGAGACAGATGGGCAAATATTTCTCCATTCTATATGATTACAAACAAACAGACTACAGAACACATCAGACCCCTTACAGATTAATCATTATTCATGATAACAAGTTAACACGACAAAAAATGTTTGGTTAAAGATCCCCCTTCCTTCCCGCTCAAATTCCCAATAATGTTCTACAAGTGGATTAAACAAGAGTTCAACAAAACTCACTTACTCTAACATAGTGTCAACATGTTTTAGTAATGGACAAGAAGTGAACAGTATCTCAAAACATATCACAAGGAACAAATTAAACAACTGTGTCCAGATCAGTGATTCAATGTGTGTTCTCACCACTGCCACTGTTAGACCGAGAGAGAGACAGCCCTGAGTACTCCAGTCTCTTGGCCAGATCCTCTATGCCTCTGTTCTCAGTCACTACTGTTTCTTTCGCCATCCTCGGCTGTCCACTGTGTCTGTCTGTCCCACCATTCTGTGTTTTCTTGTTCACATCAACAAATCTATTCTGGATATTTTGGTTTTCAACATCGGTCAAAACTGGCTGGAACTTGAATTCCTTTTCTTGCAGTCCTCTGTGTTTCAGCTGCTCTTGTTTTTCCCGCAGCTGAGCTTCCTGTTCCAGTAACACGTGTTTAAGTCGAATTTGTTCCTCCAACAACGCTGCCCGCTGTCGCAGCAGCTCTCGTTTCCTTTCCGCTGGAGTCAGTTTCTTGTAATATTCCATGAATTCACGGTCTCCAGCGACATTCTTCTCCAACTCCAACACTGGAGAGTGAACACGTGCACTGTCTAAATCTTCAGGGTGATCTATGAAACCAACACGATTCCTAATTCTGTTATCTGGCTGGTTGTCATGGAAACCGTTATGTCCACTTGCAGCGAATGTCGTCCGGGGACTATCGTCTATGGGAAGAGGTTGATAGTTATCACTAGCAATAGTTGGTAAAGAATTGAAAGACATCTCTTCATAAATTTGTGAACTCTTCTGAGTACTGGACATGATTGGCTCCCGAAGAGGCCCTAACATCTTCCTGGAACTTTTCTTCCCGTGTCTCTGTCTACCATTGGGCAGTTCAGCAGCAGGGCCATGTTTTGCAGTGTTGTATTCCCCTTGTGACACAGATCTATATTCACCTTGCGACACAGGTCTATATTCACCTTGCAACACAGGTCCATAGTCCCCATGTGAGATCGGTCTATATTGCCCATGTGATACAGGTCCATATTCCCCATGTGATAAAGGTCTATATTCCATATCCTGCATGGGTCTATACTCCTGCTTCATTGATACAGGAACGTATGTCCCACCATGAGCTACAGGCCTGTATTCCCTGGTGCGAGGTAAGGCTTCGTACTGCATGCCATGCGGCTGGTTCTCCTGCTGTCTTTGCTGAGCTATCTCCTGGTCAATAAGAGATGTGTATGGCCTGTGGGGATCCGGGATAAGTGCTGGGTCCCCCCTCTGGGAGGGCACTTTGTGGTTGTCCACATGTATGTCCCTCACTGGCTTATTTCTCAGTTTGAAACATTCCTACATAAGAAACAAGCATACAGTTTAGTGGACCAAAACATGGACAGCAACATGTTGCAATACAGGTATCTGTACTGCTGGGATTCTGGTTTCAAGTTGGTTCTCATAGTACTATAACTTATTGACTGTGTAAATATTTACTAGTTACACTAGAGTGAAGATAAAGATCCCTTTGTTTTTATTTCAGTGATGTTCATGAGTAATTTTAAAAAGTACACTACGATCCAACACTGATGTCTCTTTATACTGACACTGACACTGACACTGACACAGACTACCATGTTAAAAGCTGGAGTAGCTGGTACTGATGTCTCTTTATACTGACACAGACTACCATGTTGAAAGCTGGAATAGCTGGTACTGCCTTACCTCACTGTCAGTATCAACATCAGCTCCCCAGCTCTGCGGGGTGGAGCAGTGCTTGTTCTCCTCCATGGGTGGATGTGGTGTCTGTGGACAGATTCCTAACCATCATTTCTACTTCATACAAGGTTGTGAGAGAATGACGGACATTGTAAAGGTGATGGAATTAACGTTAGCCAACTGTCAATACAAGTCTTAGTCTAACAAAGCTATTCTCACATTCCAACACCCTATCTGCATTCAACCTGCTGCCTCTTAGAAACTGTTCTGATAATGTAACAAGTTATATTTGGGATGACACTTTCTTAGTTAAGTACAAAGTGAAGTACTTTCTGGCACAAGTCACATTCTGGAATCTGAAAGACCGTTCATAATTTATGTGTAGTGTGTGTGTGTGTGTGTTAGTGTGTGTGTGTGTGTTCATGATTTTAGGGGTGGGTGGGGGCACCCATTTAGTTCTGGGGCGGTGTTGTGGTGGTGGTGGTGGTGGGGTCCATAAATTTTGTACACATGTACAGGGTGGTGGGGTTCACCTAAGTTTGTACATATATTTGGGGGTGGGGTCGTCGTCATTCACATTGTACATGCTTCTCAGTAAAAATCATCATCATGAACCCACTTGAAACCCATAACAGACCATCATACATACAAAGTGATATCACTTGACAAAGCAGTCAGTGTTCATTACTATTCGTCTACCAGTACAAACCACAATTCTGGGACCGGGGCTTCAGGCCTATTAGTTTAGAGTATGTCATGTGCCTCTTACTTTATACCTCATGAAAAATTCCTAACATTTTCAAGTTCTAAACAATTCTAGATAAGATTTGAAATGGTAATGGGATGTGTGAACTTTTAACTTGAATTTGTGTTTGTCCGTTTGTCTGTCTCTGTCTGACCTTGTGATTTTTGTAATTTGCCAAAAGTCTCGAGCCTATGTGAATGTCTGACCTTATGCTTCCTATGCTTGTGGTCTTCAACTATCTGCTCCTGGTACTTGGTCAAAAGCTGCTGAGTCTCGAACAACTTCACATGGATGTCTGAAACAGCCACATCACATTGTGAAGGACACATGGGGCATTTAGCCTAGTGGTTAAAGGGTTCACTCGTCATGATGAAGACCCCGGTTCCATTCCCTACATAGGTACAATGTGTGAAGCCCCAGTCTGGTGTCCCCCGCCGTTTATATTGCTGGAATATATCTAAAAGCGGTGTAAATCATACACACTCACTCACTCTATAAGCAAACTTACAACCAATTCTCCTCACACTGCATAGAGAGGCCTTGGAAGCATAAACTAATTAAGCTACAAAATTACGGGGGCTCAGAGGGTCCTTGAAGTTGGATTCCTTGAATTTATAAACTCCTATCATGATTTGGGTTACAGCAAATCCTCAGTGAAATTCTTCTTCTTGATTTTGTTTTGCTAATACATGTTTATCGCATGTATATCATTCTACAGAAAGAGCATATAAAAAGTTGACCAGAAGGTGTAAACTTTATCAGCAGTTCATGATTTTCTGGGGCAGTGGGATAGTATCATGGTTAAAGCTTTTGCTCGTCATGCGAAGACCCGAGTTTCGATTCCCCACATGGGTACAATGTGTGGAGCCCATTTCTGATGTCCACCATGATATTGCTGGAATATTGCTAAAAGCGGAGTACTGACTGATTGACTGAGTTTGGTTTTACGCTCTTTAGCAATATTCCAGCAACATCAAGGCGGAGGACACCAGAAATGGGCTTCACACATAGTACCCATGTGGGGAATCGAACCAGGGTCTTCGGCGTGACGAGCCAACGCTTTAACCACTAGCCTACCCCACTGCCCCTAAAAGCAGAGTAAAAACCAAACTCATCCACTCACTCATGATTTTCTGCCCCGACTTTGCCTTCCCTTAGATGCTTGATTGGCATTTTATAAGATGCTATTTGATGAACATTGAGATTTTTCTGGGTTACATCTTCTTTTTATTCTTGAGTACAACGTTTCAGGACTTGTTCTGGCCCCATCATCAGGTTAAACTGAACAGTAACTGTTAACTCTGCCCGTGACATGTTCATTTACCTTCCCTTTCGTTCAGAACTTGCTCTTGCTGTGCCACCAGCTGCAGGATCTGCTGCTCATATTGCTCTCTCTCCTGGTGCAGCTGTACTACAACCTTCTCCTTCTCATCCCCAGCCCTGCAATGCATAACAGAAGATATGGAACTCAGAACCTACCTAGTGGGTCGACAGCAGGAAACTTTCTTAATGAAACCTCAAAGACAAACATTACGCTAATTAAACAGTCTAAGTTAACTTAGACTCAGTATTATTCGTTACACTGCTACACTGAGTCTAACAAAACCTAGTAGAAGGTAGCGTCAGCTAACCTTTTGGACTGTCAAATCAGAACACAGCTTACCAAATCGCGAAAGTTAACATTTGCACATACCGTTTGAACCTTTACCTAAAAAACTCGACCTATTCCAAATGCTATTCCCGCACGATCGCTTCCGAGTGATACACTCAATGAGTAAACAGTCGCTGAAAATAGCGTTTTTGTCAATATTCAAGGATGTCATCTTGCAAAAATATAAGCAAATAGTAACCATGTCATTAGAAACCCATATGCGTACTTTCTGCATGTCAAATACGTTTTATGCAGATTTTCGTTTGTTGATAGATCAGTGTCAGCGATCAGGGAAGAGAAAATCCCAAAACCACTTTGAAAGTCCCACCAAATCCTAACCAGTAGTCGTTGTCTGAATGGTTAAATCCGTTCGACCATCTTGCGTTTGATTGGACGGTCATAGGTCGCTCAAAGGTTAGCTGACGCGACCTTCTACTAGGTTTTGTTAGACTCAGTAGAGCAGTGTAACGAATAATACTGAGCCTAAGTTTACTTAGACTGCCAAACAGAAAAATATACAATGAATAGGCTAAAAGGAGCTATGGCATCAGACTCTTTCTTCAAAGCTATCTTAGCTCTACAACCATCGTAAGCCTATGCTAAAGTACAAGAGCTAGGATTATCTCAGAGCTAAGCTTGCTTTGTGGGAGAGGGTCCATGTCCCGAGCGTCTCAGCATACTTACTTTGCCAACTCTTTGATAAGGTTGGCCACCCTCTTCTTGTCTTCCATCCTGAGATCTTTGAAGGAGGCCTTCCTTTCATGGCGGCGCTGTGAGTGGGTGTCAAGACTCTGGGACAGCTGGGTATAACAAATGCATTTACTTGGGTTTGTTTGTTGTTTAACCCTCAAATTGGCAGGTGAGGTGAGGTGAACTTGGGTTCAACGTTGTGCTTGAGAATATTTCGCTCATATGACGACGTGGATGCTTGTGTATGAATATGTGCGGCTGCTTGTACTAGCCCAGACTTAAGCTGGTTATATAGTGCTAGCCCACTGAGATACCATGCCGCAGTGAAGCATGAATACCCCACTCAGACACATTATACTCCAAGCCGACCAGTCCTTGTTGTACCCATTAACAAGAGCGTCAGGCAGGGACCAACAAGTACCATATATATTTTAACGTCTTTTGGTATGACGTGGTCGGGGATTGAACCCGCAACCTTCCACTCTCCGGGCGGACACTCTAACCGGGGGTCCAGGGAAGAGGATGGCTAATGATGACTGCCTATGAAAAACGCTGAACCTTGATCAGACAAACCACTGATTTTGTTACAGATTGTTACCATTTGTTACAGATTGAACATTCATTCCAGAATCATTAGGGTGGGGTAGCATTTTCACAAATAATCTTTTAATTTTTCTTTGAAATGATGGATGTTTATCATATCAATGGAATATCTGTAACGCATAGCACATGTAGGAGTACATTTCTGTCACTACTGACAAAACATCTACTTCCTTACATCATGAAGCAGAATATTTGTCCCCGTGGGCAAATCTTCCACAACAGGTCGGTCTACCGATATATTGGCCTTCACTTCGGGAGTCTTCCGACCTTTGACCCTCTGACGCATGTTTCCTGGCTTTGACAACCCTGAAAACAAGAATACTGACTGAAGCTATTACGAGTAACAGTGACAATAACAGTTTTATTACTTTGGGGACTGTTCTGAAACCCAAATCCTGTCATGGAAGATTAGCTCATTAATTGTATATGGATGGTGGGATAGCCTAGTGGTTAAAGTGTTTGCTCATCACACTCGAGTTTGATTCCCCACATGGTTACATTACTATCAATAAGTAAAGCAGATTTCTGGTGTCTTCTGCCGTGATATTGCTGGAATATTGCTAAAAGCGGCTTAAAACTAACACTAACACTAAAACTAAAAAAGTCACTCACTCACTATGTACTATTCAGCCACTTGTTTGACTAATTTGAAGTCAAGAAGTCAAGAAATGTTTTGTTCATTTTTGTAAACATAGCTTATAATAGTGGACCTTATAATTCAAAATAGATGGTCTCAAAAGCTTTGGGCACAAACTGTAAGGACAAAATGAATTTTATCACCAACTGCACATAATGAACTGAAATGTCCTCAAGCATAAAAACCCTTTTCCAATAATCAATTACTGTGGTCTAACATACAGGTGACATTGTTGTGGCCTTGTAATCGAGTGCTAGGGGTAGTCTAGTGGTTGAAGCATTCACTCGTCACGTCTAAGCCACGGGTTCAACTCTCACATGGGTACAATGTGTAAAGCCCATTTCTGGTGTCCCCCGCCATGATATCGCTGGAATATTGCCAAAAGCGGCGTAAAATCCAACTCACACACTCATCCTGCTGAACCATGTGTCTCCTGATTGAAAGTAACTACTTTACTTGGTACATAACACCCTGAGTACTGGGCACTCCCAGTCCTACTGGATACTCTCAATACTACAAGACACCCACAATACTATAAAGACTCCCTCTGTAACTGGACACCCCCCTTATCCTGGTGAACCATGTGTCTCCTGGTTGAAAATAACTATTTTACCTGGTACATAAGCATCGGAATCCTCCGTGCTGGAATCCATGGCTGCAAAACAATGGATATACATTATTTTACTTACTTAAAAGCATTGTGTACATTTGTGACATTGTGTAACAAAATGTGTAGAGACTAAAAACTACAGGTATACATCATCATGTATACTTAGGTAAATGGATGTTTAACCCTATTTTCCCTTGAACAGCTATTACCACACATGGGAATATATCGACATCAATATATTCACTTCTGTTGTCAATGGAAAAGCTGATATGAAATTGTTGGATATACAACTCTTCCATTCAAACACCTTGCACTAAATGGCGTCATACTTACCACATAAGACCAGGAACATTAAGAGGAACCAAATCATTAGTTTAAGCAAGTTAGGCCAGGCCAATTTTATTTCTTGTTTTACCGATATTTATCCTCAGAAAATGGCAAGGGACAACAAATATTTAAAACATCACCAGAATGTAATATTCCTTTTAAATACTAAAAGTGTTTTACCTTAATGTTCTTTTAAGTGTACATTTTTGGCCAATAAAAAAAGGATTTATTATTGAGCGGGGAAAATTGATTAATTTTGTTTTGTTATTCTTGAAAAAATATGACTGGCAGATCCATAAAACATGAAATATAATTGGTCAGGCCTTACCTTTAAATAGCGCAGGGAATTGTTTGGCAGGCCTGGTACTATATTTAAAGGTACCAGCAAATACTTCACATTGCTGGTTCCAACAAACTTTCACCTGTCTGGAAGCGAATATTCCATCCAGATTTCACTGTATTATCTATGTGTGGGTTTTCAGATGCTTAAGAACATCTCTGTTCTTTTTTCTCAATTATTGCATGAACAATTGGAAAACATCTCACTTATTAAAGACAACTTTATCCCAAACACAAGTCATCATTCACAGAGTTTTCAATTTCCTAATGATGCTACCTGCCTTGGTATAGCAAGAGTAAACACTGCCATCCGAAAACATGACCCAACAACATATTCTAACGCTCCATCAATAACAAATAATACACCATTATTTCAAATCATTCAATCCTACTCAAATGCCACATGTTTACAAAATTTACTTTAAATCAGTATTCTATATACACACGCAAGTGGAAGTTCTGGGAACTATGATCACGATGAAGGAGTACCAGTCAAATTGCCCCAGCAAATTTTGTCAAAATGATCAAATTGCAGAGGTTTTTACACCAGTGGGGTAGTCAAATGCCCAAACATATTTACAATGATTCAATATATGCCATACATTGATAGTTTTGTCATCCTCGATATATATTCTTCATATAAAAGTTACTAGGAAGTAATTTTATCATTTGAATGTCAATTAGTGAACATGTTTTTTTTATATTTTTTAAAATTCTTCTTTACAAAAGCATTAATGACATGCACAATAAGTGGTATTACGCCACCAAATTTGCTGGGGAATTGACTTGGCAATTTGACCCCGCTGAAGCCTCTCGAAACTTCGATCAGTTTCGTTTTCAAGTTGCACAACCTGAGTTCACTTTCGACAAAACACACATATTTGAAGATAAATAATTAACGAAACATGCAAATATACGTGCGACTGTGTTAAGACACATCATGTACTACACATGACAACAACGAAATAATATATATGCATGGGGGGCTATTTTAGTATTTACTTTCACGTTTTAGTGAACTTTGTTGTCCTCGTCTAAACTATACGAAAAGTCGAAACAGATTCGAAATTATTAACTGTAATAAATCAGAAGTATTTCACTGTTTCTGCTTCAATGAATGTCACATCGTGCCCACATCGTTTCCAAGAATAAATATCAAATGGGACATGTGATCAAATTTCGTCTGCCACTGTCATGTCTAAACTTGAAGTTTGACATTTTGGCTGCTGTCATTGCAAATGTATTAATGACTAGCTTTATAAAACAAATTCCCGAAAAGCACATGAAAAACTGCAGCCGTTATATTTTCCGTTTGCGTCATATTACACGAATACACAGTAACATTTAACCTGTATTCGTCCAGAAAACACGTCGTCTGTTATTTGCGGAAGTGTCCGCCATGACATCCAAACAAACCGCCTTTCATTTGCGCATGCGCGAAATCCGATTATCCGGACAAGACCTCTGGCTGGCCAACTGTGACACGGTATCGAAGGGTGGTTAGTGATTTTACGACCCCCTCAGAGGATTCAGACGTTGGAAAATAATCATTCCGGATACTGGATTTTTATAAACGATTTTGACTCGACTGACAAACTCCGTCAAAGCCCCAAACACAGGCAACGCCTGCCAACAGGGTAGTCTGCGAACATAATATTATGTTCCCTTCTGCCCAGCTTATCACACAGTGAAGCAAATCTAGATTTAATTTAGGTTGGTGTATCTCCCACATCGCTGGGGGTATCTTTTCAATTTAATAGCGTACTTTCTTTCTATCAAAATGAACTTATAGTCATGTGTATATCAAATTAATATTAATGTCCAAGGGGAAGGTTTATATCTACAAACATCAACGCATGTATAAACCCTGTTTGCGCTACAGTTTGCCTGTGTATAAACAAGATATAGGATTTCCCCAATGCAGCAAACATAAATGCTTCATTAATTTTGTCAGCTGGATTTTCCCAACACCTGGGTTCAACTTCATGTTCTGTGATAGTTTATGGTAGTGAGTGAGTTTAGTTTTACGCTGCAATCAGAAATATTCCAGCTATATGTGGACAGTCTGTAAATAATCGAGTCTGAACCAGACAATCCAGTGATCAACGGCATGATCTACGCAATTGGGATACGATGTGACAACCCCAGTCAGCGAGCCTGACCATCCGATCCCGTTAGTCGCCTCTTACGACAAGCATGGGTTACTGAAGATCAATTCTAGCCCGGATCTTCACGGGTGAGATAGTTAATGATAACTAACGAACCGGTTTTGTGATGTCCGGTCATTTATATGATGTAACAAGGTCACGTAATACACAGTTAATGCGTCACACTGAGGGGTGGAAACTTTGGGAATCCCTCGTTATGACGCAGTGTTCAAATGTTTCAGGATTCTCCATGGTTGTGAGCATCATAAAGCGATTGTGGGTTTTATAATAGTGGCTTTATGATACACGTGCAACACTTTGTCTTCCCTCCTGTACGTAAAATACTATCAAAGCTCACTCACCCACCCACTCACTCACTCACTCACCCGCTCACCGGCTCACTCATTCACTCACCCACTCACTCACCCACCCAACCACTCACTCACCCGCTCACTCATTCACTCTCACTCACCCACTTACTCACCCGCTAACTCACTCACTTACTCACAAACACTCACCCAGTCACTCACCCGCTCACCCACTTACCCGCTAACTCACTCACTTACTCACACACACACACATTTACTCAGTCACTCACGCAGTCATTCACCGTTTCCTCCTCAAATGAACTGGCGTTCAGAACGAACATATATATGCTTGTTATGACCAAATAAGCAGGTCATCATGTGAGATTACACTCGTCATGGGCGGATCCAGGAATTTTGAAAGTGTGTGTGTGTGTGTGTGTGAGAGTGAGAGAAGAGGGGTGAAGAAGAAGGGGTGGTGTCAGGGTTTCGAACCCCTGAACCCCCATTGGCTCCGCTAACGCAAAAAATCTTCAATGTGGTCTTAAGTCATTTTCACAAAAAGGGGGGTCCTGAACCCCCACCCCCCCCCCCGGATCCGCAAATGCTCGTGAGATATCACCATATAGTGTCATACATGTATATTATTACATACGAGGGCAAATATATCGAGGTTTATACTTTTTATTCGATGCCCTTGGGCAAAATATCACTTTACGAGGAAGTGTTCCATGTCAAGCCTCGATTTCGGAGCGAACTACGTTTTCATTTGTGAAACTGAAACTTGACTATGCTTTACTACGTGCATTCACAGCCTGGCACTTCGGAGATAACGTCACCTCGAGATTCGCTTTCAATATTGTTGTTATTAAAACAAGGTGTTTTAGCTGAGTATATTTTTCAATAAAATATATAAAACGATTAAAATTCATTATTGTTTTACTTACATACATGTTACATCGATTGATTACCTGAAGACGACAAGGTAAACAAACAATATGGCTGCACGATCTGCCCGGTCAGTTGAAAACTCAGTTTCAAGTTGCGTCTGTTCAACCATTCCAAGCTATCACTTTCAAAGTTACCATTACCACTCCCATACAACAGTTATAACAACATAGTTTACAGTCTGTTGCACTGTTAATCCACTGCCTGTACCTATTCCACACAATGGACTAATCCATTTAAGAACATCAACACACAACTCTTCCGTATATTAAATGCCTTAAAAATAATTGCCTGAAGGCACTCTGTTTATTGAAAGTAGTTTCTAATTCAAAGTGGGGAGGGGATCAAATTACCCTCCTACACCTATATAGATCATTGGTCCGCTAAGTAACCAAAAACTATTAGAATCAGTCCATCACCATGGTCTAAGACTTTGTCTTTGATCTTTTAGAACTTACCTTGTTGACAGTCTTTACGCCGAGGCAGATGAGCCATCTCTTACACAACGCCGTATAAAATTATCTTTACAATACATTACAAAACTATACTCTAACGAATCTAACCCTGCATATACAGGCCAACCAAAGACATAACTGTGTCTTCAATACCCTCTATGAGGATGTATACAACAAGAAATCTTCTCTTGTTCCGCCTTTTGGGCTCAGAATTAAACCATTCATTTCTGCTGCCGCCATTGAGCTGGAAAAGATATCTCATTCCCGTCTTCTTTCTTCTCCTTAGTGAGGCCACAAGTTGACCTAACACTGACAAAGTTTAAAAAATCAGAAACTAATGAATTACAATATAAATAAGAGTATAATCAATTCAAAAGTAAATCTATTACATACAAATCCTTATTTACAGTTGGGTCCAAGGACGGCTTGTGCCACTGTCATTCGATCCAGAACACTATCTTCTAGAATACCTGATAACAGCTCTATTTTCACAGCAGAAGCAAACGCAATATTAACGGCTCTTAAATATATTCAAAGACACCCTAAACACAAACAATATATAACCTTTTCTGACTCTATTTCTTTCCTTCAGGCAATTAAAAACTTATCTTGTAAACATCCACTTTTAATCGAAATATATCGTCCTCCATTGGTTACCCAGCCATGTTGGAATCTCTGGGAATACAATGGCCGATTTTACTGCTAAGGCTGCACTCAACAAATCTGTGACACCACTTCTGATCCAATACTCCGATTACAAAGCTACCATTAGATCGTACATCCGTGATCTGATGCAGAAGAAGTGGTACACTTAAGTAGGTATAAATAAATTAGATGAAATAAAACCCTATATTGCCTACACCTACTTGGGTTGTCAGTCCAGATTTGAGGAGGTCATTTTATTCTACGATGTCGTATTGGCCATACAAGATATACTCATGACTATTTGTTTAAAGGTGAGGATCCTCCGTTTTGCATCCCTTGTGATGAAAGAATCACGGTCAAGCATGTCCTGCTTGACTGTATTGATTTTTCCATCACAAGGGATAAATATTTCAATGTCAAAACAGTGAAAGATCTTTTTAATGTTAATTATCATTTAATTATTGAATTTTTAAAAGGAATAGAATTACTTGATAAATTTTGATAAAATTTTGTAAATAGATAAAGGAAGGATATTTTTAGTAATATAAGTTCTCATTTAATTATTGCATTATTAAAAGAATTAAAGTTGCTAACTGATTTGTAAATAGATACATATTGTATTATTGGTAGTATAAATTAGCAACTGAGATTGTTAGTGGCTGTATCCTGACAGGGGGTTAAAGTACCATACAATTATTGTCCTTCTGAGAGGGTACGTAAGTCCCAAAACTTTCAAAGTCAGTTTAGCTCAACAGTGCTTTTTAATCGTAGTATTTTTTTTATTCTAAATTTCGGCTAAATCTTCCTACGACCGCCAGCGGTTGAAGGGATGGTGTAAATCCATGGGGGCCATGCAGGTAGCAAAGGTAATGTAAGTCCCCATGGTCCCTAGTATGGTGATCTACCTTCAGTTGTTGGCGATCTATAGCCCGTGTTTGATATTGTATTGTCTTCTTTAATTAAAATATTTTAGTTTTACATGCTAGTTTTATATTCATATCTTTGATACTCTAGTATTTTTACTGTCCATCGTCGACAGGTTTTACTCTTCAACATGTTTTCATTTTTTATTGTATAAATAGTTTTCGTCACGATATGGCTGAAATATTGCCGATGTGACGTTAAATTGTAAGTCACTCACTCACTCACTCACTCACTCAGACATCCCAATGAAGTTGACTCACTTATTCCTGACATAAAGTCAACCATACTTTCCCTACTGGAATTAATAAAATGGTCAATTATTTCTCTCAGTTGTATTTCATCGACATCTTCAATGATATCCTGTAAACTATCACACCTTTCATTCAAGTCGCCACACAGATAAATCATTCCACTATTTTGGTAAGTATATAATTGCTGTTCAGATCTAGGAAGAATTGTTCAGCTAATCTGCTAGTGCCTTAGGGAGGTAGATAACATACACATATAGATATCGGGATGCAGTAACCGTTTAAGGTTAATCGACAGTATGCCTTCCGTATTAAAGTCTGTTAGTGTTTTCGTAAATTGGACGAGCTTAGTGTTTAACAAGAAGCCAACACCCCCCTGAGCCTCTCTTTGCACGAGAATGAAAACAAGATCTATTTTGACCATACCATTCATAATTTTCTATTTCTATTAATTCGTTCCCTTTCAAAAATGTCTCGCACACACCAATAAATTCACATTTTAATACATCACATTTGAAACTATAAGCATCATCGTTCTTTGCATTTTTGGCAAACCCCTAATGGGTTGAAGTTTTCTCCTTCCCAACAGAGCTCATACCTAATAGAAACACAACACATTCAGAACATTGGAACGGCCGCCCGGCGACACATTGCAGATATATTCCGTTTTACGAATGCTAAAGTTCTTACTAGGAAGTTTATTGTATTTATAAACATGATGCAAGATGAAACAAACAT